TACTTATGCTGTCTGGAAATATGCATGTTGTTAGAAGAGACACCCACAGAAATTTGGCTTCCTTTTCTGTTCTTAGACGCACAGGACTCTGCAAGGCTGGCTGCTTCCTTGCCTGCTTTTGGTTTTTGCTGTTGTTTGTTTTAAATTAATTAATTTTCTCGCTGTGGCGACATGAGGATTCTCTCCACCGGGTATCTCCTCTTCAGGGTACCCATCACGGAACCGCCCGAGTCCCACGCCACAGTCCACTGCGCTCCCTCTGCCTCCCGGAAGGATTCCTGTGCGGGCGGGGCAAAGGCTAGAGGCGATTAAGTACGGCCAGCTGCGCCCATGTAGTTTTGAGGTTCCGTTTGACCTTTAGCCCCTAGAGTCCTGAGGTAACCACACCTGCACTCAGGCCTTCTGCGCAGAGGGATCTCCGCGCTGCGAACTGCAGGCAGCACCTTCACCCAGACTCGGCTTTCTCTGTGGCCAGTGGGCACACTCAGCTCCACGCCGACACCAAAACTCGCTCTTCTCTTAGATGCTGGTGAGAAGCCACTTTGGATTGAATACAGGCCTAAAAATAGAATTCTAGGGCTGTAAGTCAGATGTGGGAACCTGAGTGCTCAACTTGGGTGTCAGGGCTGGAACAGCTGAGGAACGGGACAGCTTTTAAGTAATTGGGATAATGTTAAGAGGCCAGCCTGAGAGTGAACTTTGTTCCTCTGAACTGTGGAAAGTCAGTGTAAACGTCAGGGTGTCCGTGAACAGGGGCTTTCCCCAAGCGCTTCTGCCATCAGGTTCCCCCTCCCCCCATCTCATGTTCATCGTTCTAGAAATTTTTCTGTGATACTATTTTTTTAAGTAATTAATCTTTTATTTTCTTTCTTAATAATGAAGACTTAAGCTGAAGCTCATTTTTGGCCTCTTGAGTTGAATGTTTAAGTTATTAAATTCGCTCACTCCCTCATTCCCCACCCTCTCCTCCTCCCTCGGTCTTACTTAAAATTTCTTGAAGTACTTCCCATTATCCTCCAAAATTCCCTCAGACCCTAGCCTCAGATGACCACTTAACTTCTTTTTGTCCCTATAGATTAATTTTGCCTTTCCTAAAATTTTATGTAAATAAAAGCATGGTATGTATGATTTTGTGTATGGCTTTTTCCACTCAACAAAAAGCTATTTATTTATCTATTTATTTAATAGGGTTTTTTTTTTTTTTTGAGAATACCAAATGAAAGCTTTTCTCTTCTGAAACAGTTGAAATTACATTAATTTAGGTGGACCTCAATCCCTACCTCCATTATCACAAAGCATCTTACCTGTCTATGTATTAAAATGTCTGCCCTTTTTTCCCCATCACCATCCATCATGCATTCTTCCTCCCCATCTTTCTTAACCTCAATTCTTCTTTAAAGGTCTGATAGAATTCCTTTGTAAAGTCTTCTTTAAGATGGATCAAAATGTTACTCTTATCCTCTTCTATGTTGTAATTATTTAGGTATCTGTCATCTCTGTATTTGTAGTTCTGTGGCTTTGTAATAACTCTTTTAGAACTTTTATGTGTGGCATGGTATTGAAAAATTCTTTTTGTCTTTGCTTTTCAGTGAAGCTTGTTATCCTTCCTTCTGTCTTTAATCCTAATCTTGTGAGGCAAAAGATTCTAGACTAGAAATATTTGTCTTTGAGTATTTTCAATATCTCTACCACTGTCCTCCTGGCTGTAAGATTTCTATTAAAATTTCATAACCTGTCTAATTGGTTTTTCCTTTTAAGTGAATGTTTTTTTCTCTCAATGTTTTTAATATTCTGTCCTTGCCATTGCTTTTAATTGTTTCATTAAAATGTGTGTGTGTGATGTTACTTGTTTGGAACTCTCTGAGTCTTTTGGATCATGACATCTGGTGTTTTTCCAAACTGAAATGGTTCTCATTAATTATTTATTTAAATGAATTTTCTGTACCGTTCTCTTTCTCTCTCTTTTCTCCTTTTGGGACCCCCACCCCCACCATGATACAGTTGTTTCTCCTTAGGTTACCTCTAATACTTCTTAATTTTTTCAACTTTTTTTAATTCTTTGTTGATATATTTGTGTGTTCTTTTTTTAAAAGATTTATTTTATCTATTTATGCATACAAGATCTGGGGTATAGGCCAGAGGTGTGGGCAGGGATGGGGGGAGCAAAATAGGCAGGTAAACTGGAATACACTGCTGAGGGGAGCAGCAGGTGAGACAGGAGAGATCTGTGAGACAGGAGAGGTCTGCTGGGACATGTGGGTCAGCTCCCTGGCCAGGGATCGACTCCTGCCGCAGTGGCTGCCAATCACTTGATGGTGCTGAGACTTAACCCCTTGTGGCACCAGGGAGGCCCTATTTGTATGTTCTTTACAGCTGTGCTTTCTAGCTCACCAATATTCTCCATTACTTGTGGACATCTATTATTGAGGCCCTCTATTGTACTTTAAAATTCTGTTGTGCTATTTTTTAGATCCATTAGTTACAGCACTCATATTTTCTTGATCTTTATTGTGTTCCTATTTTATAGCATCCATAGTTTTCCTTAATTCAGCAAGTATGGTTATAAATATTACCTTAAACAACTCTTCACACATTTTTCTGGACTCTGCAGGATTGAGGCTTTCTCTTGTGGTTCTTTTGTTCCATCATTTGTAATTTTCTTCTATGTCTTCATTTTTAGCTTTTATGGGTTGTAATAGGAAGTTTATTTTTCTTAACTTAGGAAATTGACTTTATATCCACCCTTTAAGAAGTTGGATATAATCCTAGGTTTTTTAATTGTCTGCTATTTTACAGACTGCTGCCTTTGCACTTGTTCAGATGCTAGAGAGTACAGAGTAGAGCTGATAGGTAGAAAGAAACCAGGGCAGCAGGGTGCATACAGGTTACCTCCAGTGAGTATCAAGGATTCATGCTTTTTACTGTCTGCAGGTAATTGAGTTGTGTGGTTGGGGTCCACAGTGATCCTCCTCTTGGCTAACCCCTTGGCCTAAGTGTCCCATATTGTCTCACGCCTGCCTCTCATGATATGTTTAACCACTAGATACATTGCTAGGCGAGGATTATAGTTTGAGACAGGACCAAAAGCTGGGAATTGTCCTTTTTACTTTTAGAGTACAAAGTCTTACCCTGGAGCACTTACTCCTGTTATTAAGATCTATATGTATAAGCCCTAGTTAATGAAAACATTCACTTGTTTCCTGCATTTGGACCCTATCTTGGGTAAGGCATGTGTTTTGAATATTACAACTTCAGGTGGCAAATAGTAGCTCCTTTGATGAGGAGTCACAGGTGAATACCTGGTTCTCCTTGTCTCTTTAGTCTCTAGCTGTTCTAGATTGGGACCCTCAGGTTCAGGTGGGTAATGAATGCTCTGTACCCCTATCCTCTAGTTCTCCAGTTGCTTACCCTTTCTCCTACACACCAACTCATGTGCCCCTATTTCCAGTGCAGTGCTGTATTTCCAAAATCCTCAATTTGGGCATGTGTCCCTGAGTCGCCAACAGCAGAGGGGGCTCTGTTCATCCCTGACCTTCCCTCTTGTGGGCTGTTCTGCTCCAGTATCACTGCACACACAGTTTAAATACACTTTTTCCTTATCTTTTAAGTGTCAACTTTGCTTTGCTGCAATTTAGTTATGGATATATGGAAGAGATGAGACCAGATTTTTCACTCTGCCACCATCCTGCCAGACTCCTCTGGCCATTTTTATACACATGATGGAACTAACTGGTGAGCAAGGCTCAGGAGATCAGGACAGGTTCTTAGCATGTCCCATGTGGAGTTGCATGTTTTCTTAGGACATGAAATATATACCCTAAATATAATACTTATGTTGTTTTTCTGCTCCATAATAAATAGTCTCTTCAGCACCCTATCTCATGAGTTGGCATATATTCTAGTTAAAAGAAACCACACTTGCCACCAGTACAAAATTTTATCTTTTGATGAAGATACATACTGTTTCTTCTGAAAAGGAAATAAACCACTCATTCTTATAGATCTACCTCATAAGAAAAGGAAAACCTATTACATGGTGATGTTGAAGATTATAAGAAATGGATTTACTCCTAGATGTTTACCCTATGAATGCAAAAGCACTCAAAGATATAAATGCACTCCTATGTTCATTGCAGTGCTATTTATAATACAGCCTATGTACCCAATGACAGATGAGTGGATAAACATATGTTATATATAACCAGTGAAAAACTACTCAGCTATTAAAAAAAATTAAATCTTGCCTTTTGTGACAACATGGATTGAATTGGAAGGGTTATGCTAAGTGAAATAAGTAAGAAGAAGAAGACAAATACAGGATGACATCATGCATGTGTGGAATATAAAGAAACAAAACAAAAGAACAAACTTTAGAAATATGACTGTAAAACTGAGGTTACCAGAAAGGGAGTGGGTAGCAAAGGAGGAAAGAGGGCCCAATGGGCTATGGTGGAGGTTATGGGTGCTTTGGTGGTGGGTGTGGTAACATATATCTGAAGAGGTGTGAACTTACACCTCTAAATTATATACAGTATTTCAAACCAACATTACCTCAATAAAAAAAAATTTAAAAAAAAAAGAAGTGGATTTCCCACACTACCAGTGGGAAGAGATGTGGTGTTGAGTGCTGCTGTTATTTTATTACATTTGCTACCATGAACAAATATTATTTCCAAAACAATAAAAAAAATTAAAGATCAATAAACAATGTGGGCAAAATATTTGGATAGAATCATCAGATCTTAAAATTATTCTTGAAAAATGAAAAGCTATTTAAAGACAGAGGCTTTCCAAGTTAAAGAAAGGGTCTGATTAAAGGCAAACTCTGAATCAAGGTAAGAAGTCCAGGAAACAACTGGAAAGAAAGAATGCTCATGGGTACAATGTGGAGCAAGGGGTTCTGTTTTTCCCTAACAGCACATCCCAAGTCTCCCCTTGCCATACTTAATCTGAGCAGCCATCCTTTTTCCTCCCTCTAGCATCCTCTCCTGCTCCCAGCCATGGGTCAGTCCTCCACATCCATAAAAGATCATGAGTTGGCCTCCAGCTTTGATGCATTTTTAAAGAATTTCAAGTCAGAAAACACAATCCTTTCTCCAAAAAACATCAATTTGATTAAATCATGTCTGAAGAAGTGGAATGTTCAAAAAACAGCTGCTAGTATCAATAAAATATTAAAAGATATTGAAGATGCTCCAATAAACATTGCTGTGACAGGGGAATCTGGAGCAGGAAAATCAAGTTTCATCAATGCCCTGTGGGGAATCAATCCTGATAATGAAAATGCAGCCAACACTGGAATGGTAGAGATAACAATGGGAAGAACTCCATACCAACATCCACGGTTTCCCCAAGTGATAATATGGAGTCTGCCTGACATAGAGACCACTAAATTTCAACCAGAGACTTACCTGAAGGAAATGAAGTATGAGGATTATGATTTCTTCCTTATCATCTCTGCTTCATGCGTCAAACAAAGTGATATAGAATTATGCAAAGCAATTAAGAATATGAAGAACAATTTCTACTTTATTCGCACTAAAGTAGACAGCGTTTTATACAATCTACAAAGGAGTAAATACAGACCTTTCAATAAGATGGAAAAAGAAAAATACCTTCAAAAGATCAAAAATGAATGTCTGGTACAACTGCAGAAGACCGATATGACTGACCCTCAAGTCTTCCTAATATCCAGCTTTGAAGTGTCTTGCTATGATTTCCCAAAACTGGAGGCCACCCTTCTGAGCAAGCTGCCAGCTGAAAAGCGCTACATCTTCAGGCAGTGCCTTCCTGGCATTTCTGAGATTTCCATTGACCAGAAGAGGGATTCCCTGAGACAGAAGTTCTGGCTGGAGGCCCTAAGGGATGGAGCACTGACCAGCATCCCTTTCATGGGTTACATCAGCCACAGTGATGTGGAGAAGCTAGAGGAGACCTCAACCTACTATAGGTCTTACTTTGGACTGGATGATGTTTCCCTGGAAAACATGGCCAAGGATTTGCACATGTCAGTGGAGCAACTCAAGACAAACATTGTATCTCCCAGTTTGCTATCAGTTGATAATAGTGATGAGGTCTTAGAGAAAAAACTGTTGAGATATTTGGAAACATTCTGCTTTTTCAGTGGAGGCCTTCAGGCTACTGGTGTTTATTTTCAGAAGATTTTCTATTTTCAAAATTACTTGCTTGATACTATGGTGAGTGATGCTAAAATTCTCCTTAATAGAGAGGAGATTTTTAAGGACTCTCTGGCCTCTGGACAGTCCTATTCACTTCAGCATGTTGGGAATGAAAATGAGTATAGTGAGGCAGCCAGCTCCTGATTTCCCCTCAGTGTTGGTGTGGCATTCATGCCTGGAAAGGACTTAGAGCTCTTGAAGCAAACCTGATACACCACTCCCGGGAGCACAGCATCACAGATGTGTCACAGAAACACTCCTGAATCAACCATCACCTCAAAGACTTTTCTTTGAGAATACGAGCAATTTACAATAAAGAATTGTTCTGAGACATTATCCTTGGGAAAATAAGTGACAGGAATCTGCAATGATATGCTAAGAGGAGAGCTCATCTCTCTGTACTTACTTTCTACCCAGGAATGGTCTTAGTTCATTACTAAGATATACTGACAAAAAGAAAGAAAAAGAGAAACACCAGATGGTCTCACTCATAGCAGGAATTTAGAAGACCCAAATAAGGCATCAGAAAAAAGACTAATTATGATAAAGTAAAAATCAAAATCAACAGGCAACTATAAACCAGAGACACACTACAGGGGGGAGAAGGGAGTAGGCTCAAAACAAGGGTGATGGGAATTTTACAGGGACTATAACAAAGATAAAAATGCATGCATTGTTTGAAAATGAAAAATAATGTAAAAAATATATAAAATAAAAAAATAAATTTCATTGGTGAAGGAAAAGATATACTGGCAATAAATAAATAAATATGCTAGCAAACGTTAGGTCCTCAAAAAAATATTTTTAGTGAATGTTTACATAGCTTTTTCTTTGCATTCCTTGTATTCTCTTATAAATATATGTATTCTGATCATGAACAGTCCAATTAATATTGAGTGATATCCTCCTTGTGCTTTCTAGGATTATTATTTTATTTGAAAAACATGAAAGAGAGTGAGGGGAACACTGTGTCACAGGTAATGTAAAAGAATCATTAGCTAAGGACAAATACCCATTTGGGGTACTTTGAGAGAAGGGCAAGTGCACATTGTGGGAATATAGCCCAGGGGGTTAAATATTGCAGACCTGGACACTCGTTGATTGTTTACAGAATATTTTGCGCCCTAACTTGAAAAGTTAGGGAATACGTGGAAATGCAAAGAAATACATAAGGTTCTCAAGTATTTGAAAAGATGCTCAGTCTCTCATATGATAAAAGATACACAGGTTAGAAATGTCATCTACACCAAGGTATCATTTCTCTCTTTAATATTTGGGGAAATTGAAAATTTTAACACAGTGGGTGCAACTGTAGAAAAATAGTTAGCATCATTCAATGCAGTGAGTGTACAAGATAATACAGTCTCTAATGTGAAAAATTAGGCAATTTCTAAGAAAATTATACACACATTTACTCTTAGACCCAGTGACCCCACTTTGAAAAATCTATACCACAAAAAAATTGGAAAAATTATAAAAAACATGTATGCCTAAAGCCTTTAGTTGCACTTTTTGGAATGGGAAGGGGCAATTTAAATATTCTTCAGTCAGGAATGATACAGAATAGATGATTTGACTATCATAAAGAGGAGTGAGGAATACAATATGTAATTCTAGAGTGTCATCTCCAGGAAGATATAGAGACATGTGTATAGCATATTTCTGCTGATATAATGGACTTAATATGAATAAATATTTTTATATGCTCTTAAACAATGAATTTTATTTAGAATAAAATTTTATTTAGGAATAAAATACCTCTTTAGGAAGGGATGGTACTGGTTAGAGGTGCAGCGCAAAAGTTATATTTCATTCAATAACTTATTTTACTTTAGAACATATAAATGCTTCATGTAACTATATAATTTTTATTCTAAAAACAGAAAGCAAAATAACAGAAATTAATCCAAGCCTAATGTTATCATAACCAGTTTTTCAATATTAATTTGGAATTAAATTTCTACTGGAATATATCCCAAGAATTGAACATGGAAGTGCATGTAATTGTAAAAACTCATAACCTATTTGATCTTTAAAAAATAACATTTTCAGGCCTCCCTGGTGGTGCAAGGGGTTAAGCACCACACCATGAAGCAATCTGCAGCCTCTGCAGCACAAGTTCAATCCCCAGCCGGCCAGGGAGCAACCCACATGGCGAGGCAGACCTCTCCTGACTCACCCATTTCTCCCCTCAGCTGTGTTTTTCCGTCAGACTGCCTGTTCTGTTCCCCACTCTGTCTCAGGTGGTTCCTCTCACTCCCCGCATCTCTGGCCTATACCCCAGCTCTTGTATGCATAAATAAATAAATCTTTAAAATAAATAAATAAATAACATTTTCTAGGAACCCTCTTACAACACTGGTGGGAAGGTAAACTGGTCTAGTCTCTATGGAATTCATTATTTTATTTTTTTAAAGATTTATTTATTTATGCATACAAGAGCTGGGGTACAGACCAGAGATGCAGGGGGTGAGAAAACTCACCAGAGACAGAGTGGGGAACAGAACAGGTGGATTTACTGATACACACTGCTAAAGGGAACAGCAGGTGAGACAGGAGAGGTCTGCTGCACCATGTTGGTCTCCTCCCTGGCCAGGGAGCGAACTTGTGCTGCAGTGGCTGCAGATAGCTTCATAGTGCTGTGCTTAACCCCTTGTGCCACCAGAGAGGCCCTGGAATTCATTATTTTAAAATCTGGTAAATAAGGAAATGGATCCAGTATTTATAATATTTTTAATATATATAAAAGATTGAACTTGGCTTTCCTAAACAAATTGTATAGTAAGAAATATTTGATGAATGGAAATTTCTTTTTTTGTCGGTTTTCCTTCAATAAATGCAGAGGGAATTATGGGATTAGCATATTCACACTTTGCAAACCTTAAAGAAGTAATAGACCTAAGTGGTGATCACCTATGACTGCTAAAGTTACACAAAGGACACAATCCTCCTAATGGAGTACATAGTCTAATAATATAAAGGCTTTTTGCAAAAAAAAAAATCAAAAACAGAGGAATCAGAAAAATCCTTTACAGATCGCTCAAAACAACAACAACAATAACAAAATCTCAAAAAACATATGTATGAGAATGCCAAGAAAAAAATCAAGGACCCTTTAAAGGATACTTTCTGATGTGAGGACATCCAGAAGCCACAAGACATTTGAAAATATTGTTCATCATCACTTCTGATAAGAGAGATTAAAACTATAAAGAGATGCCATCTCATACTCATGAGAATGTTATATATTAAAAAGACCCCCAACAAGTGTTAGAGAGGATTTGCAGAAAAAGTAACCTTAACATATTGTTTGTGGAAACATGAACTAGTGCAACCATTACAGAAAACTATCTGGATTTACCTTAAAAAACAAAAAATGGAAAAAGTCTCTCCTGACCTCTGTGTATCCCCTTTCAGAGTTTATCTGGGATGTCTCCAAGCTTGTGAACTGACGGTGACATACAGAGCTTAACTTGGTCCTGAGTCTAAGGAAAACACTCAAATTCTGCATGCTGAAATGCGGCAGAGCCCCAAACAGGGGCAAATTCTGTTTGTAATCTTCCTGTGTGGGGACCCCCTTCTACTGAATGTTTGTCTAGCGGGTGCTGTGGACACTGGGTCATGCAATCAGTGGTTAGTCCGGATTTTTTAGGTATTTACTTGCTAACTAGAATACAGGGTAAATGAAGTCTGTTGGGGCATGTCTTTTACTTCTGTTTTGAGCTTCATATCCAAAAGGTAACCTACTACTCAGAAGTCTTTCATCAACATTTGTTGACTGAATGAGCAAAATCAGGATGTGGTTTTGAGTTCCAGCTGTTCTACCTCCATACCATGTGGCAGGTGACTTAATTTTAGAGGGCCTCACTGATGTTTTCTAAAATAGGAAAAAACACAACTGTCTCCATGGCTCCTGAGAAGGGGACAGTAAGCAGTACTGCAGGCATGCTGGAGGCCCGCCCGAGCACAGCCCTGCAAGTCATGTGAACTCATCAACTCTGGTGTCTCCACCCTTTGCATCATCCTCTGCCAGGTCTCACACTCCCTCCTTTGAACACAAGAGTAGTGACATCAAATGGAAATAAATCTATAGTTATCATGAAATAAATTAATAATCACAGGTACTGGCCGTGGGGAGGGTCTAAGGAGTCACTGTAATTGACATTTGCACAGAACCCAGAAATCCTGTCACATGAATCTTACTTTTGGAGTAAAGGCTCAGGAAAAAGTGACATTTACCCAAACTTTATATTAAGTTGCTTCTGTATGCTTTTTTTTTTTTTTTTCATTACAAGTCTGAAGTTTCAGAATTGACCTGTTTTCTCAGGCTCTTCAATTTTTTTTTTAAAGATTTATTTTTATTTATTTATACAAGTACTGGGTACAGTCAGAAGCACAGGAGGGTGATAGAATTCACCAGAGCCAGAGCAGGGAGCAGAGCAGGCAGAAGGACTGAAGTACACTGCTGAGGGGAGCAGCGGACAGCAGGAGAGGTCTGCACACCATGTGGGACCCTCCTCCGGTGGCCAGGGAGCAGCCGGGGATCGAACTGGCGCTGCAGAGGCTGCGGGCAGCTTTGCAACCCAGAGCTCACCTGCTGCACCACCAGGGAGGCCCTCGGGCTCATCAGTTTTCTTGAAATCGACTGAGTTACTGGGAAGAGAAACAAATGCTAGTTGAGTTTGCACTTTGATATTATTGGTAGTGCAGTAGACTTTGAATGCAGTTAATTGCTCTCTCCTCTGTGGTTTGTTGGTTTCATAATGAGAGGGGACAGGAGCTGGAGGAGTGTGTAAGTCCAGTCCAGCTGTCATGCCTCATGGCTTTAAGGCACCAAAATACAGAACCTCCTTCTATCTGTGACAACTCCCTAGGATAAAAGGACATGGGTCCCAGAGGAAGAACTTAAGTGCAGCAGAGGAAGATTTTAGTGCCTGAACAGTGACAATGAGCACATGACCAGGTCCAGAATTTTGTGGTAATTCAGAGCCAACTTCTGATTTAAAAGATCTCTTTTCTCAAAAGGGCTTGTGGAAGCCACAACATTTTAGCAGCATGGGTTGGAAAACTGAGATATTTAGTTGGCAAGTCTGGAGCCATGGGCTGGACACAGCATTACTGCTTGATGCTTGGAGCTAATTCCT